CCCAGCCGTAAGACAGAAGCCCTCACTGCTTCGTGGAACCCTGACTGAGAACCTTGCCTTGCCACTTTGACCTACAAGTAGAGTCAGAGATGGAATCTTCCCACCACCTCTTTGACCTGAGCCACTGGAGGGAGGGGCAGCCAGGCGAGGGGAGAAGAGTGGAACCATGTGGGAAGGAAAGGTGACTGTACTTGCTCCTCTCCCAAAACTGGTTTTCTCCACCCATCCACTACAGACGAGAGAGGATAAGAAGAACCTGCTGCGGCTGCGGACCTGGTGGACAAGCTGCAGCTGAAGGTCAAGGCCTATAAGCGCCAGGCCGAGGAGGCGGTGAGTAGCCCTGCAGGGCACTAGGCCTAGAGGGGCAGAGGGGAGCTGGTCACTCAGGCCGGGAGGCTGAGCACCCAGGCCCTCTCACGCATCCCCCACCCACAGGAGGAGCAGGCCAACACCAACCTGTCCAAGTTCCGCAAGGTGCAGCACGAGCTGGATGAGGCGGAGGAGCGCGCGGACATCGCGGAGTCCCAGGTCAACAAGCTGCGGGCCAAGAGCCGCGATATCGGCGCCAAGGTGGGTCCCTCCGCTGGGCTTCACTGGTCACTCCCACGTCAGCATACCCCCTGGCAGGAGTGCTCCTCGGGGTGGGCACTCCTCGTTCTACATGTGGGCAGCCCTGAGGGTCCCACAGCACTCGTAACCTGGGAATCCACCCTCCTGCTCGAAACAGCCCCCTCTGCGGAAAGCCCCAGTCCCACCTCCTAAGCCACAAGCACTCCTAACATGGGACCCCAAGATCCCCAGAACCCCAACCTCTCCCACCAAGGGCATCTCCCTGGTGGCCGTTGGGATTCCTACCCACACTCTTCCTCTTGCCAGCTGCCCCCTCACACCTCTTATTTCCTTCTCAGCAAAAAATGCACGATGAAGAGTGACGCCGCCTCCGAAACCTCACCTTTGCTAACGTATAATAAATACGAGTGCCAGCCTCTGCCTGAGCCCCTCTGTCCTTCCCGCCAGCTGGCCATCCTGGGGCAGGCGTGTTGGTGGCCCGGGAGGAGGGAGGCCCCAGCGCCTGTGTTGGAGCAGCAGCAGCTGGGACATCCCACATCTGTAGAGAAGGAAAACCAAGGCCCAGGGAAGTGAGGGGTCCTGCCTGAGGTGGCACAGCCATGAGTCCCAGTTCTGCTCAGTCAACCACACAAGGGAGGAAAAGGAGAAATCTCAAAAGTGGAGAAAACAAAGGCACTAAAATGGTGAGCCAGTTCAAAACCAGCCTGAGCAAGAGCCAGACACTGTCATTACTAAAAATAGAAAGAAATTAATCGGCCAGCTAAAAATATATATAGAAAAAATTAGCTGGGCATGGTGGCACATGCCTGTAGTCCCAGCTACTCAGGAGGCTGAGGCAGGAGGATCGCTTGAGCCCAGGAGTTTGAGGTTGCTATGAGCTAGGCCGATGCCACAGCACTCTAGCCTGGGCAACACAGTGAGACTCTGTCTCAAAAAAAAAAAAAAAACGGTGTCCTTGGATATCCACTCTTTCCAAAATGAGTTTCCCACTGATGCCAGGAGGGTCTTGGAGCTGGCTGGAGACGGGGGTATGGGGAAAGGAGGTAGGAGAGATCTCGCTCTAATCGACCCCCTCCCTGTCATCCCCAGGGCTCTGACCCCAGCCTCTGTGGGTGAGCCCCTTACCATGAGGGCATTCTGAGACTCCGGGGCCAGCTGACACTGAGCCCAAACCAGCATTCAGTGAGGACCAACCCTGGGCATTGCTCTCCCATTTTGGCTCTCACACTCGCAGACAAGCGCACGTGTGTGTACAGGTACACACCACACACCGCATTTCTGCTCTCTCTGAGCTCCCACAAGGGACCTGGCCCAGGACACACAGCTGCTCAGGGGACAGGCCTGGTCCTGACCCCATTCTGGTCTGACCCCACTCCCCACTGGGCCTTGCAGCCAGGCTCATCCCTTCACCTGGCACCTCATCTCTCCAACTCCCCAAGCCTTGCCCACCCCACCCAAACCCCCAATGTCAACTAATCTTGAGAACGAATTGTGCCTAAGGCCCTGAGAACTGTGAGCGGACATCAGAGAAACACAAAATCTGGCTGGTTCTAGCCTGGGAGGGGCTTCCAGCCCTGATGGGGAGCCAGGACACAAGGACAGGAGGACTGGAAGCAGGAAGCAGGGGGCAGGAAAAGTCAGACCAAGAGAGGAGTGGCCGCCACCAAGGGCAGCAGAGCACCACCACCAGAGTTCCAGACCCAGGGTTCAGGCAGGACTTGGGAGCTGGGGCCTGCCCCTGGGAGGAGCACCCCAGAAGAAGAAGGGTTGTGTTTCAGGGCAGGAGCACGTTCACATTAGAGAGAGGAGACAGCAGGCCAGCTTGGATGGAGCCACTGAGCCAGGCCAGGCTGGGCTACTCAGGCTGGCCAGGGTGTCCTGGCTGCACTGGACTGTCGTGGACCCCAAAGGGCTGATGCCCGGGCTGCAGCAGTGCCCGCTCCAAACTCCCTTGGGGCTGAGCCCTCGCATAGCATTCATCGTCGGGAGCCCTTCACCAGCTTGTCTCTCTTCCAGTCTGCAAGTGCTCAAGGACAGGCCTGCCTGTCACCTCTGAATCCCTGGTGCCCAGCACAGGGTCTGTGAACGAGAGGCCCTCAGGACATGTGTGCTGAGGAGCTGGCAAGCTGGGAAGGTGCGTCCTCCAGTGGAGGGAGCTGCCGATGAGGCTGGCCAATTTTCTCTGAGTTACGAGGGAGCTCACTACAGTATCCAGAACACCTGTTCGGGTGTCATGAGAGCTGGATCTTAGCCCTAGCTCTGTCACAAGTGAGGGAGTCACTTCCCCTGGCTTGGCCTCAGGACATTGAGGCAGTTGATATCTAAGAGCTTTTCCAGAGTCAGCATTTTGGTCTCTAACTTCTGGTCTCAAGCAAACCTCCCGCCTTGGCCTTCCAAAGTGCTGCGATTACAGGCACAGGCCACCAGGCCCAGCTGCTCTCTCCATGCAACCTTGCAGGCCGTGTCCTCCCCACACCACAAGGGGGAGCCCTACACACGACCCGGGCTAGCACCTCTCCTCAGGCCCCTAACCTGCGTGAACAGGTATGGCGGGTGGGCGCTCACATCAACAAGGCTTGTGCCTCCTCAGACATAGAACTCCAGGTGCCCAGCCACCAGGCACACCACAGTGGCCTCGCACATGGCGTGGTAGCGTGGAAGTTTTGTGTTGGAAGGTGCCTTCCGCTTCTTCAGGCTAGCCCCCGCCTCCTCAGTGCTCAGACCGGATCCCAGAGACAGCCCATGATCTGCTCCAGCAACGCTCCCCTGAATACTCCTTGGCATCCTGATCTGCCTAATTTCTGGAGAAGAAAAAGGCTCACCAGTAGGATTTGAATCTTTTAATCTGGGCATGACGTAGGGGCCCAGCTGCTCCCTATCCCATAAGTCCCCTCCTCTGGCCAGGGCTTCAGCAGGAGGCAGAGCCCAGAGCACCAGGCTCCACAGACAGGTCCCCAGTGACTTCTCAGGCCAGACATCTCTGCGGACCTGCGTGGGGGACGGTGGTCTGGGGGACTCGTGAATCCAAAGGAGATGTGTCTAGGCTCCACAGTCCCCTTTGTCTGTCTGGGCCTGGGAGACAGGTGCCCCAGAGTCACTGATGGTCCCCTGTGAAGATGGAGCCAGGAAGGGAAGCCATGTCAGAATTGGTTTGGTAGTGGGGAGGGGGCGGGGACGTCTCCTCTCCTCAGAGCACAGGCACTCACCCTGGGTGGCCCTGGGCGCCATCTCCGTCCGGTAGATCTTGAAGGCATCATAGGCAAACACTGAAACCAGGACAATGCCAAAAACCTGTGGGAGTAGGAGCGGGGATGACACAACAGAGGCTACTGGGCCGTTGGATTAAGGGAGAGGGAGGCAGGTGGTATGGGTGTGACGCGACCAAAGTCCGGGCCCTGGCTTTGGCTGTTGACACAGTGTGCAAGCACCAGCCAGAGGTCCTGAGGGGCTGACGCGCCCTGCAGGGCTGAACTCACAAAAGCAGCAATGGCAGCTCCATTCGGGGAGGTCACGGCTGCAAAGGAGACCACCAGGAAGATGATGATGGCGCTGACACAGCGGAGGAAGTCCTGGAGGCCAGGGGTGCAGGGTTAAAGGGAACTCAGAAGGCAGGGGTGCATCACCCTGAGGTCTTACAGGCTAGTCAGCAGCCTGATTCTCAGGCATTCTGAACCCCTATGGAAGGATACCCCTGCACACAACAGAAAGCATTTTCGAGAGAGAGCGAGCTCATACTGCCACCCAGGGAACGGAAGCAGATGAATTGAGAACAACCAGGATGATAAGTCAGGGGCTAGGGTGGGCTGAGCAGGCACAGTGTCTGGAACCCATGGGCAGAGGCTGGAACACACCAGCGAGGATGCCCGCGCCAGGGCTGGGGCTAGGGCTGGGGCTGCACCTTTGGTGAGTTGGGGGAGCAAATCTAAGGGATGTGTCCTCCTCGTCAGTAACCCCATAGCTGTGAAATCAATGTGGGGCAAAGCCCAGCTGGGTGTGGAAACGGAGGGAAGCTGGGAGAGGAAAGGAAAACTTAGCATCCAGAGGAGAAGGAAGGGACCAAAGTGGGCTGGAGTCGGGGTTCCTCACCAGACAGGGCCAGTTAAGCCGGTCGAAGCGCTGGTAGTACTGGGTGGCGTAGAGGAAGAGGAAAGCGAGCGTGATCAAGAACTCCAGCAGTGCTGCGGCCATGTAGGCAGAGATAGAGGCCGTGAAGCAGATGAAGATGATGAAGGTCAGGGCCTGCAGGACCAAGCATGTGGAGCTTGCCAGGGAGGGGACACAGGAACGTGCCAGGCCTTTGCCCTCCCCTCCTTGAGATCTCCCCCAGACTGACACCCACCACCTGTCCTTACAAAGGGGAAGGAAGAGCTCTGGCATGTCTCCCCATCCCTGGTGTCCGGAGCCACTGATGCAGGGTATTTGACCACGAAGGACAGTCCCCAGCCTGCCACTGTGCCCCCAGGCATCCCAGCAACCCCAGCAGTCTGGCCAAGTTGCACAGCTGCAGGGGCCACTATTTGATGGCGTCTCCCAGGAGCACAGAGTACAATGTGAACGCCAGCCCCTGGCCACAGGGCCCTGCCCCCAGGAGGCACCCTCTGCCCATAATGCTTCCCACTCCCAGACGCCTAAAACCCCTCTGACAAGATCAGAGCTTTGACTCCACACCCAGAGAAAAGGCTCAGAAGGCAGGTGCTGCCTGGGGAGACTCTGTGGGTCCCTTCAGCTCTGGCGATATAGGATGGCATATAGGCAGAGGCCTTAACTTCGCACTGTGGTCTTGCTAAGTAACCCAGGGAAATCCTTTCCTGAGAATAGATGTCCATGGGCAGCAGGCAACAGAGCAAGTGCAGCTACAGGAATTCTGCCCTTTTCAATAGTTGGACTTCTTGGACATGGCAAAAAGTGGCCATCTTGGAGGCCAGGGAAAGACAAGCTGGTGTTAACCCTGTCCCATCCTTATGTCACACAGTTCCTCAGTGTCTCAGAAAGCTGTCCTTCTGTCTAACCTCAGTCCTTCCTGCTGCAGCTGAAATCTGCCTTAATTGCCTCCAGATGGAGAGGCAGCAAGAAGGCAGAACAGGAGACAAGGAAGAGGCAGCTGGGGGCAGGAGAGGTATCCGGAAAGCCTGGGGAGGGGGCAGCTGAGAGGTGAGCCAGGGATGGGGAGATGGAAGCACCAGGTTGGGGAGGCAGCTGTTACCAGCTCGGTTTCCAGCAGGATGCCTTTGAGGGAGGAGAAGAAGGTCTTGTCCACAGCGAAGCCCGGGAGCTCTGCAGCTGCCCCCTCCTCGGGGGGCCGGTCCCGTCGATCCCAAGCACCGAGCATCTCCGTGGGGCCCACGACACAGCCCCCCACTGCCACCAGCCCAGGAAGGAAAACAGAAACCTGGCAGGATGGAGCGAGAGGGCACTTCAAGAAACCTGAAAGTGAAGCAGGAAGGCCTGCCTGTTGCCTGGAGAAAGCAGCCGCTGGGGTGGGGGGGGGTTCACCCAGCTGCCGCTGCTCGGCCCCCTAGGAGGCACGCAGGGGTGGGGAAGGGGGGAGGAGGGGCTAACCCTTCCCCTCACTCGGAGCCCAACCCAGTCTGGAGAAGGGGAGAAGGAAGGGGGAATGGAAGGAAGTCGGAATGGAAACCAAGAGAAGCTGGGAGGTAAGCTAAGGAACTGGGGCAGGACTGGGAGCCGCCAGGGACCTAAGCTTGAAGGAGTTTATGTCCCTCCCTGCTAACATTAACCCTCTTCCTTGGCCAGTCCTTTCTCCCCTTTCCTTTTGGGGAGGATGGGAGCTGGAGCCTGGCCCAGGCAGCACCCCCAGGACCAAGCTGCAGCAGCCAGGACCAGAGGACAAAGGCGGATTGTTGGGGGGACAAGGGGGTGCTGTGTGCCCGGAGCAGTGCCTCAATGGGCCTCTGTCTCTCCAGCATGCCAGGAGCTGGCCTGGCCCCCACCCTGGTGTTCAGGGTGGGCCAGGGAGCCAGAGAAGGGAGGGAATGGGAGGCGCAGTGAAAATTCCGGAGGGCAGAGAGAGCTGGCAGGGTGGGCTGAAGGTGAGGGCTGACAGTGGGGAGCAAAAGGGACAGGCTGGGAGACCACAAGATGTTCTGGCACCATGGATGCCAGGGACAGGTTAGGCGTTTTTTAATACAGATATTTATTTGGATAAATCACTCCATGTTCAATAACAGCTTCTTCTTCAGAATGATCCATGTCAGAAGACTAGTAACTACACCAGAATGTGCCCAAAGTTGATGCTTGCTGAGTGTCTGATGAATGAATGAATGAACAAATAAAATGAAGGGCTCTGCACTGGCAAAGGGAAAATATCAAGAAAGTGCTTGTGCTGGGCCAGGGCAGTGGGAGAAAAAGATATAGGAGTGGTGGCTTCAAGAAATGGGCAGAGCTTTGAAGAACTTCCCTGAGAGGAAATGCCAAGACACCAGCTTCCAGCAGCCCTAAGCAGCAGCTGCTCCCTTTAAAAAGTGCTTCCAAAAAAATGCAAAAGTGCGGTTGCCTCCGAAGGCCCCCATCCTGTTCCAGGATCCAGCTGCTCCAGGTGCTGCTTTGCAGGGGCCGAGTATTCGAGTGTCCTGGCCCATAGTGGCAGGTGGTGGTACAGCTGGCTCCGGTCTTCCCGACAGGGGACCAGCCTCAGGCAGGCACAACTAGGCCATCACACGGGGCCGCACACACACACAAGCCAAGGAGACACGGTAGAGCCTGCGCTCCAGGCAGTAGCCACTGTGGGCTGCCTGCTGGCCACGGCACGGCCGCCGGTAGAAGACGGTCTGGTTGTGGTACAGCAGCTCCGAGTTGCCCAGGGGATCCATGTGGGAGCCTGTCTGGAGGCTGACGCAGTGTGGGCACAGGCAACGGGCGTGGTACAGGTCCTGGGGGAACCGGTTCAAGTCCCTGTCCAACCTGTGGAGGTGGCACTTGTCAGGCCCTGCAGGGATGGGCCAGAGGCAGAGAGGGCTGGGTGGGCGGGGTGGGGATGCCAGAGGAGGGCTGCGGGGCCTGGCTTCTTATCTCAGTTCTGGCAGCCACTTGCTGCAAAACTTTGAACAAATTACCTCGCCACCACTGGATTTATTTTCCCCAACTGCAAACGAGGGTAGGGGGCAGAAGAGTGACTTTCCAACTGAACCTGGGACTCTTAGGAAGGCAGGGAAGAGGAACAGGCCGTAGCCTCCAGCAGACCAGCAGTGCTTCTGTCTGATACAGACACTGGGCTGTAGCATGACATTTCTTGTTGTAATTATGAAGTTTAGATGGTTTTACTACCATTATTATTAGTATTATTTTGCAAAAGTAAAAACTACTCTGACATCTAAGTATAGAAGAGTATAAAGTGAAAACTAACAGTCTCTCCCCACCAGTTCCACTCCCCAGAGGGAGCCATCAGCAACCATTTCCTGTACATCCTTCCAGACGCTGTCCAAGCACATGTTATAAGCACACTGAAGAGTGCATGGGAGGCCAGGCACGCTGGCTCACACCTATAATCCCAGCACCTTGGAACACCCTAGTGTAAGGATCACAACATAATGAGACCCCTGTCTCTACGTTCTAAAAAAAATTTTTTTAATAAAAAATTATAAGAGTGCACAGGAAGAATTCTTTATTTATTCTGAAAGGCTTTCATGACCAAAAAAAGAAGACTTGAAAACCTCTGAAAAGTAAACCTCCCAAAGATCTGGAACTGCAGTAGTCTAGCAGGAAACAGCCCCAGGTTATAGGACCATTCTGCACACAGATAAGCCCTGGCAAGCTGGGGTGCAGCTAGCACAGCATTTCCAAAGTGGGTTCCCTAATGAATAAACCTGCAAGAAAGGGGTCAGGTGGTCAAATGAGTATGGGAATCACTCAGTTTAACAGTTTCTTTTCTACAGACTTCTTGCAGACAGTAATGTATAGAAGGCATTCTGAATCTCCAAGGAGTAGGGGCTGCAGCAGCCTTTCTCAAATTTACTTGACATCATCCCTTTGCCTGAGGAGCAGCAGCTTGTGGGATGAGGGTTGCACAGAACACACTTTGGGGAAGCCCAGCTGAGTGGCTGTCAGGGGTTCATAGCCTCTCCGAGAGAGGTCTGGATCAAAGCCGAGTTAACCATCACAACCGTTCCCCTAAGAGGTTCCCACACCATTGGATTTAGCCCAGGAACCAGTCAGCCTTCTGAGACCACTCCAGAGCATTGTGACCTGTAGTGTCCACCCTAGACCTAACCTCAACTAAAGCTGACACCCTCCCTGCTCCACTGAACTTCTCCATCTCCAAAGCCAAGACTAAGACTTATGAGGAGTAGGAATGCAGACACTGGTGAGAACACAGGACAGTAGAAGAAAAATGTTTGAGATCCCTAAGGCCCTAGAATTGAGGGTTTAACTCCTTAGAATACTTGTAACCCATTAATGGCCCGGGGCAATACCACTTGATATTGGGATGCTTCATGCCTGTATCATGCTGTTATTCTCTGATATTTTTGTTAGAAAAGTGTGGGCCATTATAGGGATTTTAAAAAAGGAAAATGAGGCCGGGCGCGGTGGCTCACGCCTGTAATCCTAGCACTTTGGGAGGCCGAGGCGGGCGGATTGCTCAAGGTCAGGAGTTCAAAACCAGCCTGAGCGAGACCCCGTCTCTACCAAAAATAGAAACAAATTAATTGACCAACTAAAAATATATATAGAAAAAAATTAGCCGGGCATGGTGGCGCATGCCTGTAGTCCCAGCTACTTGGGAGGCTGAGGCAGTAGGATCGCTGAGCCCCGGAGATTGAGGTTGCTGTGAGCCAGGCTGACGCCACGGCACTCACTCTAGCCTGGGCAACAAAGTGAGACTCTGTCTCAAAAAAAAAAAAAAAAAAAAAAAAGGAAAATGAGAGAACCCACATAAGTATGGACTTTTACATACATTATATCACTTGATCTGCACATTAGCCTATGGGGTATTATATAGTTTTACAGATGACAAAAAAAGAAAGCTGGAGCTTCGAACACTTGAGTAATTGGCTCAAGGTTACCCAGTGAGAGTCAGAGCTAGGACTCAAATTTAGACCTTGTCTAATGCCCAAACATTTATGGGAGATCAAAAAGGACAGGGAGGCTGGAATTGGGCGGAACTCCCTGGTCCCTCACACATACCCTGACCAGCACACATAGGGGAGCTCCTGCAGGCATTCGGGAGGGGACAGCAGACTCACTCGTATCTCCAGGGGGAGATGGCCCTGCTGTTGAGGGGTCCGTCTTCACTGGACCTGCAGGATTCTGAGTAGGGGGCGAGGCTAGCTGGTTCTGGGGGAGTCATGAGCACAGTGCTCCACTTCAGCCATTCCTCAGTGGAGTCCTGCCCTTTCCTGGGGCAGCAGCTGGGCCGATGGCTGCAGCCCTTCTGGAGTCCTTCATGGGCACCGAGAGTGTGGGTTCCCATGACCATTGCGAAGAATGCAGCCACCTGTAGGAAAAGCCCAGTGAGAGACCTGCTCCCACCTAATCCAGGTCCCCTTCCCACCCAAACCCTGCCCGAGATGCTTTCTGAGACGCTGGTTTCTAGCTCTACCTGGCTCCCAGCCCCAAACCCGGGAGCTTGGCTTGCCTCCACCCTCAGCAGCATCTCTGCTCCCTTCCCTCTCAGCAGGCACTCTGCTCTGCCCACCCTGTGTGCACTCACCTGGTACATGCCGAGGCTGCTCACTCAGCCACAGGTGTGGAGCCAACCAGCAGGCCTTCTGGAAGCAGGCTGACTGGAGCAGGTTAGGAGTCCTGGTTTTATTTTCAGCTAACCTGTTTTGCTTATTCAAATTTATTTCCACTATCTTTTGGAGGGAGTGACTTGAGATTTAAGAAAAACAAAAAACAGGCCGGGTGCGGTGGCTCTCGCCTGTAATCCTAACACGCTGGGAGGCTGAGGCAGGCGGATTGCTCGAGGTCAGGAGTTCAAAACCAACCTGAGCAAGAGCGAGACCTCGTCTCTACTATAAATAGAAAGAAATTAATTGGCCAACTAATATATATAGAAAAAATGAGCTGGGCATGGTGGCGCATGCCTGTAGTCCCAGCTATTCGGGAGGCTGAGGCAGTAGGATTGCTTGAGCCCAGGAGATTGAGGTTGCTGTGAGCGAGGCTGATGCCATGACACTCACTGTAGCCTGGGCAACAAAGCAAGACTCTGTCTCAAAAAAAAAAAAAAAAAAAAAAAAAACCAAGGTACTCACCATTAAATTGGTACTAATTGATAAACACTTATGTGCACATATGGAATAACATTCATTGGGTGTCGGGCAGGTGGGGGGGAGGAAGGGATGGGTATATTCACACCTAATGGGGGCAGTATGCACTGTTTGGGGGATGGGAACACTTGTAGCTTTAACTTGGGCAGGGCAAAGGCAATATATCTAATCTAAACATTTGTACCTGCATAATATTCTGAAATAAAAAACCGAAAAACCCTGAAAGTATTTCCAAAAGCTGCTTAAAATGCAGTGAGCATCATTATAAGCCTGGTAGCTGATTGGATAAACTTTGCTCTTTGCAGTTTTCCAGCGTGGGGTCAAAGCAATAGCATTCCGCTATTCTGTGTTCTTGCGAACTGCCATTATGGAAATTTCCCTGGCTGGTTTGGTACTCAAAATTAGGCAATGTCTTCTGGCCTGGAGGCCTCGTTTCCATGATCTCTGCTGCTCCCACCCAGGGTCTGGTCAACACGACTCCCCTTCTTCTCAGATGTCCTCCTGATCACCCACCTTGGTGAGCACTTCCCTCCCCTTTGGTCTCCTTTGACCCCCATCCCATTTTTCTTCTCTGACCTCTTCCCCAACTTTGATGACCCCAACTCCCATGACACCCATCATCTGTGACTTCTCCCCCATTGTCCCTTCCCCACTCTCCCACTTCTCCCACCCTCTCTGGTCACTGCCCCTAGCCCCATCCCCACATCCTCCCTGACCTCCTCCTTGGGATAGGGAGGCAGCCTAACCATGCAGGACTGCCAGGAAAGCCCTGGTTCCATGAGTTTGTTGGCCAGATGGGCAAGGTCGGATGGAAGAAGCTGTGGGTGACTGTTCCCATTGCACAAATAAGAAGATGAAGCAAGGAAGAGGAGGGACACCATAATAGTCTCACCTAAGACCCAGAGGAGGTCTCAGTTCTGAGGACAAACCTACTCCCACCCCACTCACAGGGCCTTGGGGACATGGCCCATGGCAGACATAGCTGTTGCTCTTGTGCCATGGGTGAGTCCACTCAGCCCCAGCACCCCCAGCAACATGGGCCACTGTCAGCCAGGAGTGAGTACATGTGCCCCAGAGAGGCCAGGAGCTGGGCCTGACCTGGAAGACACAGGTCGGCCAGTGGCCAGTCTGCTTGTGGGCATGGTGCTGAGAGCAGGCCAGAGTTCACACCCCTCCAGGCCTTTGTCTTCCTCCTTGCCTAGCACCCCCCTCGTGCCACCCCTTGTCTCTAGAATGATGCTTCCTGATTTGCATGTGATTTCCCTCAGAAAATACTCCTGTAGTAACCAAGGACTCAGGAAATAAACAAAGGGAGCCAGGAATAACTTAAACTGTAGAGCAAGAGGTACTCCTTCAAATTTGAAATGCTTTAAGGCAAAGCAGCCCCAAAGGAGAAGAGTGATGATGTCAGAGGCCATTCTGGAGAACTGGGAGAAGCTGCTCTGATGAGTCTTACGAGGCCTGAAACCACGGGGGCTTAGAGGGCTTTCCATTCCAGCCCTGACCAACTCCAAATCTAAGCTCCTGGTACAGAGATGCCACACTATGTCCATCCCCAGTTGGCTATGAATGGAAGGGGAGCCCCCACAGGGGGTGCTTGCCTACTCACCTGGGCTTGGGCTGGAATAGGTCTCACCTGCACCTGCCCAAGGCCACAGGGCATTCGTGCCCACTTAGGCATTCAGCCCTGCTGGCTGGGATTCACTCTCCAGCTTCCTGTTCCCTGGCCCTTGGTCTGGCACATGGCCTCTGGGTGGCTTCTGGTGTTCCGGAGCAACCCCAACCCTAAGACAGGCTCATAGGGGGCAGTGCTGCTATAGAAGAACTGGATGCCTATGAGTCTCCCCACACCAAGGAGAACCGCAGGGCTAAGAAGGGAGTAAACCTTAGCCCAAAGGTCCTGGCTGGCCACTGTCCAGGAGGGGGTGCTCAGAGGAGCTAAAAATGATTCCAGCTACTTGTTTCACTTGGTGACACTGCACAGAGGACACAGCTAGGCTACCAGGGACATTGCCCTTCAGGAGAGGCCTTTGGGGTATCATCCTGAGGCAGAGGGAATGCCCCCCAAACACATAGTCTCCCTCAGGGTTGGCTCTACCCACCCTATGATGCCTGGGCCTGACCCGAGAGCCTGTGCTCTGAGCCACGTGCCCCCACCCCACACCCATTTGCTCAGCTACTGCTCTTATCTCGGTAGCAGCTCTGTGGGACTCCTTAGGGTGACTCCCTGTCATGATAAACATTTTCCAGAGGGTTTTCCTCTTAGGGTGACTAGTTTTGGAATCCCTGAGTCATCTCAGCTTCCAGGGAACCCCGGGAGGTGTGGGGACATGGGGGTGGCAATGGGGAAAATGGAGGAGGCAGGAGCAAAGGAAAGTTCACACAACCCTCATATCAAGGGTCCCCTCCCAGCACAGCCCCATCTGCCTGAGCCTGACCTGGCAGCCAAAGAGGGCTTGCTGGGATTCCTACCCCTGTGCCCCTGAGAAAAGAGGTTAGCACCTACAGGAAAGGGCAGGGAAGATGTGATGGAATACACCTGCCACCTTGGCTTGGAAAGGCTGTTGGGGCTTCAAGGAAATTAGAATATGGCTGTCCTGCCCTTTCTCAGAAGGATATTCCTCACCTGCTACCTTGAAGTCTTGGCCCTGCCAGTGACCAGCTCTTGCTTGACCTTGGGTCCTCCCTCCTCATTTGTAGGAATGTGGGTGTTTGGGTGGGTGGGGGTCAGCGGGAACACTGGCCTGGATGGGCACAAAGGTGCCAACTAGCTTAGCTGCTCTGGACCTTAGCTCCTGAAATAGTGCTAAATCCACAGGCCTCAGCAGGGTCTACTGAAGCTCACCTGCACCCACCTTATGCAAGGCTAGGGCACTGATGTTAAAATGTTGAAATACTTCTGCATCTGCTCATAAGTAGATGCTGCTCTCAGCTTTGGGACACCCTCCTACCATACTTCCCTATGATCCAGCACCTAAAAGATGAACACCTGGTACAGATGGAAGCCTCCAGAACATTGCTCCCATATTCTGATTGGTAGGTGATAATGGTTTAGCTACAAAAATGCTCAGGAGCATAGCCTCAGGAGCATGCCCTCAGGGAGAACCCAGTCTGGCCTGGAAGACACAGGAAGAATGTGAATTAGCAGGACAAAGAACCTGGCAACCCCCTACACCCAGCCCAGGGCTAGTGTCTCCCCACAGAGAGCCTTTGGCTTACTCAGCTTTGTCCTATAATCGTGGCTGCCCTAGTTCATTCATGGGCTCACCACATGTTTGTTGAGCACCTACTATATGCCAGGCCCTATTGTAAATGTTAGGAATGCATAGGAGGACAAACCAGATAAGGTAAGCCTCATGAAGCTTACATTTTCGGAAAAGATAGATGATAAACAAGGAAACAAGATAATTTCTGATAATAATAAGTGCTATGAAGAAAACGAAACAGTGTTATGAGATAGGGGAGGCGGGGAGTTCCAGGGCTGGGGGGAGGTTTAATGTGGTGGGTCAGGGAAAGCCTTTCTGAGGACGCAGTATTTGACATGATGATGAGAAGGGTCTGGGGGAAGACCCTCTGGCCTAGGCAGAGGGGGCAGGACATGCAGAGCCCTAGAGGTGGGAAAGAGCATGGCATGTGCGAGAAACAGAAAGGACAGTGGAATGGTTGGAAAACAGGGGATAAGGGGGAGAGTGGGATGGGATGAGGTGGAAAAGGTCGGCAGGGACTAGATCACACAGGGTCTTACAGGCTATGGAACATTTGGATTTTATTCCAAGGTCAGTGGGAAGGTACTGACTGGATTCAAGCATGAATTACATGATCTGAGTTTCTCAAAGGCAGGCTCCATGTCCTTGACATTCTGGTGCCTCTCAGGGCTGACACCAAATAACAACAATAGTAGCTGCTTTTGTCCAATATGTATACATCACGGGCCAGGCACTGTTCTCAGGATGCTCTTAATCCTCACAACAAGCTGATGCTATAGCTTTCTTTATTACCCCACTTTACAAACAAGAAACCAGAAGCTCCAGGAGGTCACGTAGCTTGCCAAGGTCACTATCTTGTGTTGGAACCAGGATTAGAACCCAGGCATTCTGGATGCTTTGAGTCCAAAAAGGAGGACTGAAGAATTGATGAGCACATAGAAGTTTTGGGAAGCAAGAGGAACAGGAAGAGGTCCAGGAAGTCTCAAGGTGGGGTGAGGAAGAGACCAGCTGGTGGGATCCTGCAGGGGAAGGGAAAGAATTTAAAAAAAGACTGGGATCTGAGAAGCCAGATGGAGGGGTTCTTTCCCTTCCACTCCCTGAATATGGCAAGGGCAAGCCTTGAGAGCCTGGCTGCCACCCACCCAGGATTTTCTCCAACCCTACCTATAACCTAGAGCTTTCCCTGGACAAGTTAGAATTACCTTAAACTTCTGTTTGTGAAGGAGAGGGCAGAGATGAGGGTATAAGGTCAGGGGAAAAGCTAATCTTGCCCTCAACAAGAAACACTTTCAGCTTTCAGGAAAGCATAAGTTTGGCTGGGCAATGACTCACGCCTGTAATCTTAGTGTTCTGGGAGGCCAAGGTGGGAGGATCACTTGAGGTCAGGAGTTCGAGACAGTCTGAGCAAGAGTAAGACCCTTTCTCTACAACAAAAAGATAGAGCTGGAGCCCATTCTACTAAGTGAAGTATCACAGGAATGGAAGAACATGCACCACATGTACTCACCATCAAATTGGTATTAACTATCAACACTTATGTGCACATACAGTAGTAACATTCATTGGGTGTCGGGCAAATGGGAGGGGGGTGGAGGGGATGGGTACATACACACCTAATGGGAGTGGTGTCCACTGTCTGGGGGATGAACACACTTGAAGCTCTGACTTGGGTGGGGCAAAGGCAATATATATAACCTAAACATTTGTACCCCTGTAATATGCTGAAAATTTTTTTTAATTAAATAAAGAAAGAAAGAAAAAAGAAAAATTATCCAGGCATAGCAGTGCATGCCTGTCGTCCCAGCTACTCACGAGGCTGAGGAAGGAGAATCACTTGAACTCAGGAGTTTGAGGTTGCTATGAGCTATAATGATGCTACTGCACTCTAGCCTGGGTGACAGAGTGAGACTCTGTCTTAAAAAAATAAAAATAAAAATAAATGAAAGCATAAATTAGAAGGAGCCAAGGTAAAGAGGAAAAACCATGGAAAAAGAGTATTGTGCTAGGCATTCTGTACACATTTGCTCCTTACCAAAGTCACTGTTAGAGATGAGGAACTGAGACTCAGAGATGTTATATAACTGGGCTAAGATCACGCAGCTAATAAACCAGTACTCACTCCTGAGTCTAGCTGGCTCCATTCCATGCCTGGGCATTCCAGAAGCACAGTCTTACTTCCTAGCTGGTTTGTACTCTGCTGTCCCTCATCTAAAATTTATCTCCCCAGGCAGTAAGCCCGGCTGCCCATCTCCCAAGCCACCATCTTGCCTAGTCCTAGCAGCTTCTTTTCTGCTTAGCCTTTTCTGAACTCCATCTATTTTCCTGTGTGCCAGTCACAGCATTCACCATTGGGGACAGGGTTTCCTGCTCACCTTCAACTTTGGGCCCCAATTTTTCTTGACAGTCCCCTGGGCAGAGATCATACAAAGTCACTCCCCTACTTGAATGTCAGTGTGCTGGGCAGCCAGGGCTCCCAGGTCTGGGGCTGGAGGAGGCTGGAAAGTCTTCCCTAGTGGCCACCTCTGACCACACTGGAGCTGGGAAGGAGGAGCTCTCCTTTCAGATGTACCTGGAAATTTCAAAGTTCCTCTACCAGCCTAGTACAGTCTGAGTCTGATCAGGATTCCCAGCCCCATGCCCAGATCTGCACTCCACTGACAGCCAAGGACAGAGCCAACACCATTCACCCTCATCTTCACCCTACAATCTCTCCCTATTCCTCCCCATAGGCTCCGCCCCTCCCCTCTGCAGAGCTGTTCTTCATAGGTGCCCAGGCTACAGGGTGTGGAAGGAGCTGGAGCAGATACCCCTGCCCCACTCACTGTTCTAAGAGATGCCCGGATGTGTGGGCCTGGGGGGGGGGGGTCTGTCCAAGGCCTCAGGTTTACAGAGCCTTAAATTAGACTTCTGATCTTATCTGCAAATGAAGTTATGCATAGACTCATTCTCCATTTCATGTGTTTGAAGTGTTAATTTGTTAAATGTAAACATTAAAAATATACTACAGCTTTTCAATCCTGCTTGGCATCTTGCTTTTTAAATACCAGGAAGCTCAGAAATGGAAAGCGGCAGGCTTCCCTCAAGCCTGAGAGGCCCTGATATGTGTCCCAAAAGGAAGGTCCAGGGATGGGGGTGGCTGGAGGGAGGCAGCACACACTAAGGAGTAATACAGGGCAGTGGAGGTGTGCGGCCTAAGAGCCCAGTCCTTTCAGCTGAAACTCCTGAGGGGCCAGATCCCAACTCCAGAAAGTGTTCTACCCTTCGGTGCCTGCGGTCCCCGGTTCTGCTCCTCGTGGCCGCAAAAGTGAGCCAGGCTGCGGAGGCCCAGACTCGCAGGGGAGAGTGAGAGGCCGCTCAACAGCCGCCTGCAGCTCCGGGGCCAGACGCTCGGGCTTCAGGTTCTCTCGCCACGGCCAGAACCCACGTCCAGCGCCAAGCTCCCGGTCTGCCCCCCACAAGCACCGCCCGCCTAACCCTGCCACCCCTGCACAGGCAGCACCAAGGCGCGGAGAGGCTTCGCCAAGGACCCCAGTGAGGCGGAAGGAGCGCGCTCCTCCCAAGGGAAAGACAGATGTGGGGCTAATGAAAGGGAGGCAGAGAGAGGCGCGGGCCGGCGGGGGAGAGCAGGGGCGTGGCGGGGAGAGGAAAGCTCCCGGGAGGGAGCGGACCAGACCACCGCGAGGGCTGCAGCGAAGCCCGCAGGAAGAAGGCGCCCGGGCGAGGGGCCAGGAGGGGACGTGCGGTTGGGCCCAGAGGGTCGCGAGCTGAAACTCTACACCGGTCTTTGGAAGAATCATCCTTCTTTCTCCTCCGCCCCTTCCCTTCCCCTCCCTTTCCCCCTCCCTCCTTTCTCTTAATCCCCAGGACTGAGACCCGCGCGGGAGAGAGGGCCCGAGGGGAGGAGGAAGGAGCTGCACTGAGAGGGAGCCGGGAGCCCGGGAAAGGGAAGGAAGGGCAGCCGCGAGCGAGGGGGCGACTCTGGGGGCCAGGCGCGACCCGCGCGGCCTTCCCAGCCCTCTCAGTGCCCCCACCCCTAACCCGGACGAGTCCTCAGGACCCTGGCCCCTGCTCCTCCTTCGCCTTCTCCTTGCTCCTTTTGCTTTGTGGCCTTTCTCTTCGTTCCCAGAGACACCTGGGAACTGCCCCAAGTTCTGGGGCGCAGGGGCCCGGCCGGGGCTGCGTGAGGGGGGGCGGCGGGGCCGGCGCCGGCTGCCAGGGGGCCGAGGGTGTGAGCCGGAGCTCGTGGCCCTGCGCCCCGGAGCCGAGGGCTGGAAGGGGGCTGGGCCCCTCTGCCGCCTGGGCGCGGGCAGCGCGGTGGGAAGCCAGTCCCGCCTCTTCGTGTCGTGCCTGCGTGCGGGTTGCTGCAGGCCCCGCAGCCCCCAGCGAGGCGCCGTCGCGGCGTCCTCAGACCCCCGGGGCGTGCTGAGAGTGCCTTAGCTGCCGCCTCGCCGCCGCGGGTGCGAGTGTCCCAGCAGAAGCAGTCACTCGAGCAACCCAGCCCAACGGCCACGCTCTCCGAGGCCTTTCGTACCAGCCTGGCCTCCTTTCGCCAACTTGGGCAAGTTTGACGAGGGACAAACGTCTCAGTTCTCGCTCTTCGTCCCTCCCAGCGGGCCCCGCTGCAGCGCCCCGGGCCGCCGCGACCACAGCCCTGGGAGCACTGCTCTCCGGCGCGGTCGCAGGTGGAGAGGGTTGGCCCCTAAACTCGCTAGTCCAGCCCAACCGCCCCGGCGGCTTCTCCCAGCCCTCGGGGCTCTCCGGAACGGCCTGGAGAGACGTCGAGCGCAGCCACAACTCCCGCCTGCCTGCCCGTCCCGGCTCCGGGAGGGAGCTTTCGGCCTGTGCGGGTGCGGGGAGCCTCCGCGGCCTGGGGCAAAGCAGCTCCGGGGGTCTGGCCCACCCGGCGGCCCCCGGGAGGCCGCGGGGACAGCACAGAGCGCGCGCCCTTGGATGAGCTCCCGCAGCGACGCCCCGGCCCGCCCCGCTCCTCCTCCTGCCTGGCCAAGCTGCCTCCCATTTGGGAAGTTTTGTGGGTTTTCTTTCTCCTCCTCCAACCTTGGCGGAGGCCACGACTCAGGCGCCACAGCCGGGGGCGGCCTCCTCGCCTGGAGGCCGCGGACCATGGTTCAGGGCAGCCACCGCTGAAGTCAGCAAAAGCGAGCCTAGCCTGAAGCAGGCTGCGCGGGAGGCCAAGGCCATGGCCATTGCCACGTCGGTGAGTCCACCAAGGAGAGGAGGCTGCCGGGCAGAAACCTCCACAGCCTGCCTTGCACTCCTGTCACTTTTATTTCTGCCCTCTCTTTGTCTCTCGTTGGTCCCTTTCTTCTCACTTTTGTTTCCCTTCTCCCTCTCACTCCTCGGCCCCTGCGGCTTCTGGTTCTGGGTTTGTCCCTCCTCCCTTCCCTCTCCCCCTCCCCAGTCTCCCTTTTCTTTCTAGAGTCTGCGTCTGGGTGGAGGGGAGGGGGCCCGTGTAGCCCGAGTGCTGTCTGCTCTTCTCTGGGCGGGAACAGATGGCCGCTGGTTGGCAGGGGCTTGTGATTGGAAGGCAAGTAAAAGGGAGGGAGGGGGCTAAAAGGACCAAGTGGCTCAAGGAAAATGGGAGAGGCCCAAGGACTCCAGGAGGCCCATTTCTAGAGAAGGGATGGAGGAAAGGAGTAAACAGATCAAAGAAGGGAGATCTGGCTGGGAGAAAGAGAAAATAGAGGGAGGAGGGAAGGTGATGTCAGCCAGCCTCAGGCCACTTTCCCGGGATCCGGGACAAAGGGAAGAGACAGCTGGCATGATGAGACAGTGGGAGGAGGCCTCCCAGAGATCACTGTGGCCCCCTGCCACCCCCATTAAGCCAGCCACTCCCTCACAAGCCAGCTGGGCCCCTGAGGAGGGGTAGCAGGGGAGCCACACCCATCATCAATCAATCAGTCAGCAACTCTGGCCTGGGTTCATGCAATTGCAGGGCCCAGAGGTTTGGCCCCATTGGCCAGAATTCAAACCCAAAGCAAGGAGGAGCGCTGCACAGCCCCACCTCTGCTTTCTGTCCTGCACTCTATGCTGTCTGAATCCAGGCAATTCTGTCCCTTTCTCTCCCTTCCTGAGGTCCTGCCTGGGATTTCTAGGGAAAGTGAACTTGCCACCTGCTTTCTGTCTCCCTCTGAATGGGGACTCTGGGAAAGAGAATTGTGAGACTGGGAAGAGCAGCACAAAGCTACCCAACACCCTCCTATACCCCTTGAGGATGGGTTTGATTTTCAGCTCCTGAGACCAAACTCCTTTTAGTTCCTTAATCTGTGGTACCCAGAAGACCCTAGCTCAGAGCTGGGAAAGAGGGAGGTCCTCTGGAGGTGGAGCACCTCTGGGGTACTCTGACATAGAGATGCTGGCTCAGGAGCCAGCTGATCAGTTTCGTAGTCACATAGCTAGATTTTCCCCTTGTATTGCGGGGGAGGAGTGTTTATGTTATTAGAGCTCATGAGATCCTAATAACAGCTATTATTTATTGAGCTTTTAGTATACCTGGCCCTGTGCTAGGCTTTGTCATGGTTTTTTGATACAATTATCTCATCCAGCCCTCACAACAACCTTGTGAGGATAGTACTGTTATTATCTGAAAATGGATATTTGGATATGGATTGGGAATCCTACAAAGGAGGAAATTGAGGCTCAGAAAGCTTACTAATCTGCCCGTAGACACCCAGCTAGAAAGAGACAGAGCCAGGACTCAACCCCAGGTCTTTCTTCCTCTAGACCTGTGCTTTTATCCCCCTGGCTAGATACAAAGCACTGATTTATAATTTACAATTAGAAAAATGTGGTGCTAACCAGAAATTTATGTCCTCTGGTTAGCATATTTTCTTTGTGTGAGACAACACCCTTTAAAAGCCAAAATATAATCAGAAAGTGGTTTGATGAGTTTGGACTCAGGCAATAGGAGGAGTCTATTTGTTGGTAAAGTCACCCCGCCTGGACAGCCTCACCACCAGAGGGAAACATCAGCCAGGAGGAACTTGCTGGCTGAGCAGGGCATCCCTCTCCCTGGGCCAATGGCAGCCTGCCTGAGATCTTTAGCTTGAGATTTTTCACAAAATTAGTAAGTCCACATGGTTACAGGGCCTACCATGCCCAGCTAGCTGCTCTCCAACACTGCATGTAAGCTGCCACTGCCTGGGGCCGTACCAGCAGGCCCAATCATGTAATAGTCATAACCAAAGCTGAATATAATCTCACATTTTAAGTGCTTTAAGCTGATTCAACCAAAGGACATCATGGAGCAAGAGCGCTGAGGATTATAGCAAAGGGGATAAGGAAGTCTTCATATGTGCTTGACTCACCTTTGAGTTATGGACCCTCTCGACTTAACCACTGTTACTAATTTAAAAAAAAAAAAAAAAGTAGATTCATACATTTGTGATTGAGGAGAGGCAGTAGAGTAATTGAGGGAGTGCACGCTCTGGAATCAAACAACCTGGGGTTCAAATCATGCTCCACCAACTGTACTAGCTGTATGTCATTGGGCAAAACACTAACCTCTCTGTTCCAGTTTTCTTTCCCAAATGAGGATAATGGTGGCCTCTGCCTCATAAGCTGCTTGTGAGAATTAAATGAGATGAGATGATTAATGCAAAGATTTGCATGGTGTCTAGACATACCATTTGTATTTGGTACCTGTGACTTTGCATTACCTGAGCATGTGCCCCTCGTTGGAAAAAGCTTAGATGCCCCCACTAGACAGAACTGGAAACAGGCTGATAAATGTTTGCTTTTGGTTGCTCTGCCAACCGCACTCCATGCACACTACACTAGAGCCTGTACATTTTTCTCTTCTCCATGGTAACCTCAGCCTCTTCTGGTAGAACCTTATTTGCTCAGACTGAGAGCAAAACAATTGCTTCATTTCTGTTACCTTTCTTATTAGGCCTAGGCAATCTGTCTAGACTAGGCTTCTCCCAGTCTCTCCCAAAATGAAGGGTCTCTGCAGCTGCTTAATCTAACCTTTTGTGAGGGACAATGACTAGGGAACAGAGAAGGTAAAGGAGATTGTATGGGAGACCTTAGCAAGACTTCTTCGTGTGCTATGGAAGAAATTCATTCAACATGTGTATTGAGGGCCAATTCCAAGTCAGACCTCATTGCAGGGGCTAGGAATATGGCAATCCCTGTTCTCATAGGGCTTACAGCATAAGGGAAGAAATAGATAGTTAAAAAGTAAATAGACAAATAGTGTAAAGTGCTATGAAGGAAACAATGGATGGAGACAGACACAGAAAATGGAGCAGGGAGAAGAGTGAAGAAAAGGCCTCTCAGGAGGAGACATTTACGCATAACTGAAGGATGAAAAATGACCAGTCAGGAGAAGAGCACATTGGGTAAATGACACAGCAAGTGCAAAGGCCCTGAGGCAGGAAAGAGCTTATCTAGTTGGAGGAATAAAAAGGAAGAGGGAGAATATGGGTGATGAAGCTGGAGATAGGGCCGGGAAGAGCTGCATCAGGAGCTCAGATTTTTAGCTTGGGGGAAATGAGGAACTCTGAAGGGTTTTGAGCAGGGATGACATGGCCTGATATGTGTGTGAAGACCCCTCTCCCCACTCCCACCTCACCCACCAGGCCCAGCTGGCCCGGGCACTGTATGACAACACCGCTGAGTCCCCCCAGGAGCTGTCCTTCCGCAGAGGGGATGTTCTACGGGTACTGCAGCAGGAGGGCGCTGGCGGGCTGGACGGCTGGTGCCTCTGCTCCCTGCACGGTCAGCAGGGCATTGTGCCCGCCAACAGAGTGAAGCTCCTTCCTGCTGGCCCAGCACCCAAGCCCAGCCTCTCCCCCGCGCCCCCAGCCCAGCCTGGCTCACCATATCCAGCCCCAGATCACGGCAATGAGGACCAGGAGGTGAGAGTGGGAGCCTCCCCAACCCCAAGCCAGGAGAACCCCATTTCTCCCCACCGCCCCCCACCCCGGGCCTGCAGTGAGGCGGGCAGCGAGAGCCCTGAGGCTGCAGCTCTTCCCTGTCTACCAACCCTTTCTGAGCTGTTTCCTCTCAGTACAGGGCTGTTTGGAAGGTCTCTAAGCTCCTCACACTCTGATATTATCAATTCACTGGTCCCTACTCCTGACCCACCCACCTCTCTGGATCCCCCAGGTATATGTGGTGCCACCCCCAGCTCGGCCCTGTCCTGCCTCAGGACCTCCAGCTGGACCCTGCCCTCCTTCCCCTGACCCCATCTACAAGATCCCCAGAAGCAGTGGGACCCAGCTGGCTGTCCCTGGAGATGTCTCAGAGGTGAGGGCTAGAGATCATGCATATGTCGGGTGGGGATAAATAGCCCTCGGAGTTCATTGCTGAGTGAAGAGTAACTCACCACTCCTCTCTGCAGGTCTACGATGTGCCCCCCACTGCCCTCCGGGTTCCGTCCAATGGCCCCTACGACTGCCCCGCCTCCTTTTCACACCCTCTGGCCTCGGCTGCTCCACAGTCCCCTGAAGAGGATGAGGCTCCCTACGATGTGCCTCTGGCCCCGAAGCCACCTGCAGAGCTGGAGCCAGATCTGGAGTGGGAAGGGGGCCGGGAACCAGGGCCCCCCCTCTATGCTGCCCCCTCCAACCTGAAACGGGCATCAGCCCTCCTCAACCTGTATGAAGCGCCCGAGGAACTGCTGGCAGATGGAGAGGGCGGGGGCACTGATGAGGGTATCTACGATGTGCCCCTGCTGGGGCCAGAGGCTCCCCCTTCTCCAGAGCCCCCAGGAGCCTCAGTCTCCAAAGACCTGGACACCTTGGCCCGGCTTCTGGCCAGAAGCCCCCCATCCCCACACAGGCCCCGGCTGCCCTCAACTGAGAGCTTGTCCCGCCGCCCTCTGCCTGCCCTGCCTGTCCCTGAGGCCCCCAGCCCTTCTCCAGCTCCCTCTCCTGCCCCAGGCCGTAAGGGCAGCATCCAGGACCGGCCTCTGCCCCCACCGCCACCCCGCCTACCTGGCTATGGGGGCCCGAAGGTCGAGGGTGATGCAGAGAGCGGGGAAGTGGAAGATGATCCAGCAGGACTCCATAATGAGTATGAGGGCATTCCGGTGGCCGAGGAATACGACTACGTCCACCTGAAGGTAAGCTCCTCTGGGCAGCCCCACCAGAAATGCCCCCAGGCGAACTGGGGGAGGAGTGTGGAAGCCTGGGGCACAGATGCAGAGCCCCCCACCCCCAACCCTTCTCCCCCTTTTCCTCTCCCTGGCCCTCCACCCTGCAGCCTGAGACCCAAGTACTTGGCCACAACACTTGTACCAGTGCCACACTCTCCCCTAGACCCAGCTTGGGGCCACTAGAGCTCTCAGACCTAGAGTCAAGGGACTGCCGTGTCTGATGGCAAGAGTGTCCTTGGGAAGGAAGAGGGACAGGGGACAGGCAGAAAGGCCACAGAGGCCCCCCCACGCCTACTCTGAGACCTGATCTCCTCCTGCAGGGCATGGATAAAGCTCAGGGATCGAGGCCCCTGGATAAAGCCTTTGCAGGGGATCCTGAACTGCTGGAGAAGGGGCTGCCGGCACAGCAGGTAACCCTGGTGGGGGTGGCCTAGAGAAGGGGGCTGGGGCAGGAGGAGCAGGAACCTGGGAGAAGGAACACTCCTAAATGAACCATCGAGGGAAGTAGACTAGGATGCAGTGAGAGTTCACCGGCAGCAGGGTCAGACTAGAGAGGAGTTAGAATTCAACAGGAAAGAGCTGGAACTTGGAAAAGGATGTTAGGAATTCAGAAAGAGGGGAAAGAATGTGTTGGAGAGGAGTCAGAAAACTGAGCAGCCAGGGAAGCAGAGTTTATGGGCTGCAGGTCAGACCTGGGCTGGGTGACTTCTAAGGCTCCTTCCAACTGTGAACTCCTAGGTTCCTAAGAGACCTGGCTCTTAATCCCCACTCTACTTACTACTGAGAAGCCAGGGGCTCTGAAGCCATCAGTTAATCTCTCTAGGCCTCAGGAAAGAGAGGTGGTTTCCTCAACCTTGCCTAGAATGTTTATAACACAGTAGCTATCATCTGTCAGGTGTTTACCAAATACCAGACCCTATGCTGGGCACACTGCATCCATGAATATTAATAATAGTCATAGTAGGCCGGGCGCAGTGGCTCACACCTGTAATCCTAGCACTCTGGGAGGCCGAGGCGCGTGGATTGCTTGAGGTCAGGATCGTGAAAACCAGCCCCCCATGAGATGTGCCACGGCACTCACTCCTAGCCTGGGCAACAAGCAAGACTCTGTCTCAAAAAAAAAAAAAAACACCATATTAATATTATACCTGTTTCTTTTTTTTTTTTTTTTTTTTTTGAGACAGAGTCTTGCTCTGTTGCCCCGGCTAGAGTGCCATGGCATCAGCCTAGCTTGCAGCAACCTCAAACTCCTGGGCTCAAGCAATCCTTTCTTAGCTCTGAGTAGCTGGGACTACAGGCATGTGCCACCATGCCAGCTAATTTCTTTTTTTTTTTTTTGAGACAGAGTCTCCCTTTGTGTCCGGCTAGAGTGAGTGCCGTGGCGTCGCCTAGCTCACAGCAACCTCAAACTCCTGGCTTGAGTGATCCTTCTGCCTCAGCCTCCCGAGTAGCTGGACTACAGGCATGCGCCACCATGCCCGGCTATTTTTATATATATATCAGTTGGCCAATTAATTTCTTTCTATTTATAGTAGAGACGGGGTCTCGCTCTTGCTCAGGCTGGTTTTGAACTCCTGACCTTGAGCAATCGCCCGCCTCGGCCTCCCAAGAAGCTAGGATTACAGGCGTGAGCCACAGCCCCGGCCTGCCCAGCTAATTTCTATATGTATTTTTAGTTGTCCAGCTAATTTCTTTCTACTTTTAGTAGAAATGGGGTCTCACTCACTCTTGCTCAGGCTGGTCTCTAACTCCTGAGCTCAAATGATCCTCCCGCCTCTGCCTCCCAGAGTGCTAGGATTACAGGTGTGAGCCACCATGCCCGGCCATACCTGTTTCTTTTTACTTTTCTTAACGTGGCTACTAGAAATTCTAAAATTTCACATGTGGTTTGCATTACATTTATATTGGGCAATGTAGTTCTAGAGTTCTAGACTCCTTGTTTTAGAGATAAGGAAACAGAGAAGTTCAGAGATTTTAGGTTATTTGAATCCAGCTGTTACATCAAGTCTGGGCACTTCACTGCCTCTCTCTAAAAATCTAAGTTTTCTGATGGGCAAAGGTAAGAGCTAAAGGGATTGCTCTTGGGAAGGAAGGAAGAACAAAGGGACAGAAGCAAGAAGCAAGGGAAGAAAGCGGCATGATAAGCATGTTCCCACTGACCACTCTTATTGCCACTCAGGAGGCCTTGTCCCCAGGGGAGCCTTTGGTTCTGTCCACCGGAGATCTACAGCTTCTGCACTTCTACGCAGGGCAGTGCCAGAGCCACTACTCAGCGCTGCAGGCAGCCATGGCGGCCCTGATGTCCAGCACCCAGACTAACCAACCTCCACGCCTCTTCGTACCCCATGGCAAGAGGGTGGTGGTGGCTGCTCACCGCCTGGTATTTGTTGGGGACACACTGGGCCGGCTGGCAGCCTCTGCCCCTTTGCGAGCACAGGTTGGAGCTGCAGGTACAGCACTGGGCCAGACATTGCGGGCCACTGTGCTGGCTGTCAAGGGGGCTGCCCTGGGCTATCCATCCGCCCCTGCGGCCCAAGAGATGGTGCAGTGTGTGGTGGAACTGGCAGGTCAGGCCCTGAAGTTCACCACCCTGCTCACCAGCCTGGCCCCCTGAGGGGCCCGTGGCACATTTCTGCCCCTCCCCTGCCTGCCAAAGCCCCCTCCAGTCCTTGGGTGGCTGGAGGGTTCTGTTTTAGGGACTAGGAGAGGTGGCGGTATCTTTCCCTTTCCTACCCTTTCCTGTCATCTCAGCCTTTCACAGAGGCATCTCCTCCCCCTAACCCGCCGCTTTTTGTACGAGCCATTTTGTATAAATTATTTATATTTAATAATAATCCCTGCTTTGTCAGGGGCAGGCACAAGGCCCTCTGGGGCAGGGAGGCACTTGACTCTTCTCCAGCCTAGGGTGGAGGTCACTGCACTGCCACCCACCTCTGGAAGCTTACCTGCCCAGAGAATCAAGGGGGCAGAAACCTGGGGCTAAACGGAGCCTCTCTCTTTCCCCCTGGAACATCAGCGCCCCACCGTTAGCTGAGAGCGAGGACAGGACATGGACTGCACAGAACGTGACAATTTGGGGGCAACCAGGCTGTTCCTCCTCCCTGAAGGCAGGAGAGGGCTGGGCTCAGGTGTGGGCGTGCACCTCAATAAACCCTGCTGTCTGCTTCCCTGACTGCTTCTTGGAAGCCTGGGGGGCAGGCTGACCCCATTGGCCCTACCTTTGGGACACACCCTGTGAACAGGATGCTTTTAGGGGTTTGGAGGAGATTTTGCTCCTTTCTTCAACACTGTTCACGGGACAGGTTCTAGCTCCCATGACACACCAGGCACAGTTCTGAAAGTGGACTGTGAACGTACCTTCCTAGTGAGGGTGGGAGAGACATACACAAGTCAGTTAAAATAAGTAAATAAAAAAAAAACCTGTCACAAATTTGACAGTTGTTGGTGATGGAAATCAACAGGGTGATGTGAAGGATTAACTAGAGGGAACAGTGGCCAGTGAAGAAGACTTTAGGTCAGGATGCTTGGGAAGTGATACATGAGCTGAAACCAACCTGAAGGCTGAGAAAACCAAGGAGAGTCTGAAGACCAGTGTTCCAAGAAGGTAGATATCAACTACTGACCTGAGGGGGCTTCCTCCAAGATTCCATTGTCAAATAATGTCATTAAAGAGATGTGAATATGGAGAAAGGTTGCCCCCATGAGAGCCTCAAAATGTGCTGCCCTGGCCGGGCATAGTAGTTCATGCCTATAAACCTACACTTTGGGAGGCCAAGGTGGGTGGATCACTTGAGGCCAGGAGTTTGAGACTAACCTAAGTGAGACCCTATCTCTACAAAAAATAGAAAAGTTATCTGGGCATGGTGGCGCACACCTGTAGTCCCAGCTACTCGGGAGGCTAAGGCAAGAGGATCCCTAGAACCCAAGAGTTTGAGGTTGCTGTGAGCTATGATGACACCACTGCACTCTAGCCCTGGGGGACAGAGTGATACCCTGTGTAAAAAAAAAAAATAAGGCCAGGCGTGGTGGCTCACACCTGTAATCCTAGCACTCTGAGAGGCCAAGGCGGGAGGATTGCTCGAGGTCAGGAGTTCAAAACCAGCCTGAGCAAGAGCGAGACCCTGTCTCTTCTATAAATAGAAAGTAATTGGACAACTAATATACATAGAAAAAATTAGCCGGGCATGGTGGCACGTGCCTATAGTCCCAGCTACTCGGGAGGCTGAGGCAGCAGGATTGCTTGAGCCCAGGAGTTTGAGGTTGCTGTGAGCTAGGCTGATGCCACGGCACTCACTCTAGCCTGGGCAACAAAGCAAGACTCTGTCTCAAAAAAAAAAAGAAAAAAAGCATCTTGGAGAGGCCACCCCAACCAAAAGCCTAGCCTCAGCTTTGTACCAAAGATGTTGCCCTGATATGGTGATTGGATTGGGAGCACCCTAAGTTTCAATCACAGTCTTAGTCTCTTGGCACCCCTATGCATTTGCCTCTTCCATTTTAGTCTCCTTTCTCACTTCACGCAAAGGAAAACTTTCCACACTCTGGAGCCAACAAAATTTACCTCTATGTGTTAAAGGCCATCCCTCATCATCTTCCAGACAGAATTTCAAGAAGTTAGCCTGGAATTAGAGTTTTCAGCTCAAATGTCAGGTCTGCTATGTACTTGTGTGTCTGGGTAAATCGTGCCAGTCCCTCTGAGTCCTAGTTTTATCTTTAATATGAGAATGATCATAATTGTCTTACAGGGTTGTGAAGACCTAACAATATAATGCATGTGAACAGGCCAGCACCACATAAAATTAAGGGATTATTATTATATTCCAGGACAGACACAAGGTTGCAGACAAATCCCCAAGGAATATTGGCTATGACAGCACCATAGTAAATTCCAAAGAGATGCTGAAATGAGTTGGGGGAAGGGAAGTGGTGGGAGTGGGAGGCAGCTCGATGCATTAGAAAAGAAGGGTTTTCCATATTTGGAAAATTTCTGAACACAGGAGACAAGTTAAAGGTGTAATTTGATGGAAAGAAAGGGGAATGATTTCTAGCCTGAGACGCTCCTTTTCAGCCCATACCTGGGATTAGAGAATAAAGTACCTATCAGATATCCAATCTCTTGGAGAAGTGTGTCTCTAATGTACATACATCTGGGGACCTGGTTAAAATACAGATTATGATTTAAGGGCCTGGGTGAGACTTAGATTCTGCATTTCCTTTTTTTTTTTTTTTTTTTTTTTGAGACAGAGTCTCGCTTTGTTGCCCAGGCTAGAGTGAGTGCCATGGCATCAGCCTAGCTCACAGCAACCTCAAACTCCTGGGTCAGCTGCCTCAGCCTCCCGAGTAGCTGGGACTACAGGCATGTGCTACCATGCCCAGATAATTTTTTGTTGGCCAATTAATTTCTTTCTATTTATAGTAGAGATGGGTCTCGCTCTTGCTCAGGCTGGTTTTGAACTCCTGACCTCGAGCAATCCACCCGCCTCTGCCTCCCAGAGTGCTAGGATTACAGGTGTGAGCCACCGAGCCCGGCCTAGATTCTGCATTTCTAACAAGTCCCAGGTGATAGGATGCTGCTGTGTCATGAAAAACACCTTGAGTAGCAATTTTAGGGGTTAGGGAAGGCCTCTTCAAGGCAAAGATGCTTAAGCCAAGAGCTGAAAGGATGAGGAAAATTTTATTAAGAAGACTTCTAGACATAGGAACCAGTTTGTGCAAAGGCCTTGTGGCACTGGAAAAACTGAAAGGCAGCCAGTGTGGCTGGAGTGCAGAGAATTTGAGGAAAGAAGTGAGATGGAGCTGCAGAGAACATGTGGCCAGGCATGCAGAACCAGGTATGAGATGTCTGGATTATTAATATTCACCTTGACAGTGAGAAGGAGCCACTGAAGCAAGAAAGGGACATAATCAGATCTGCATTTTGAAAAGCATTCCATCTGCACTATGAATTGTCACAGATGGGGAGTAGAAACAAAGTGGATACAGAACAGCAGTTAGAGTTAGGGGGCTAAAGTAGTCTGTGCAACAGGTAGCTTGGCTAACAGTGGTAGAGATAGAAGACAACCAGGTTATAGAGGAAAGAGCATGCATTTGGTTGTGAACGTGTTGAGGTCCCTGTGAGTCATCAAAGAGGTCAAAGGTCAAATAAAAGGTGGCTTCATGGATCTGGGGCTCAGAAGAGAAGTGGGAACTGGAGGTGTCAATCTGGGAATAAGGTTTGTATTGTTGGCATTGGTGGTGATCAAAGCTGTGGGCACCGGTGACAGCCCAAGGTGGAGACAATAGTGTGATATGAGAGGAGGGCCCAGGACCAAGCCTCTGAGGATTGCAGACACTGAATGATGGTGTCTGAATGATGCAGATAGGAACGACCCTAGCAGCCAGCACTGCCAGCGGTGTCGCCACGGTGGACCCCTACATGCAGTGGCCTCGCCTGGCTGGACTTCAACCATTGCCTCAAAGACTGGACTGTAACAGCCTGCCCGTGCTCACCACCAACACTGTGGGCCAGAAAAGGAGGAACCTGTGATGTAAAAAAGGGGAACAGGAGAGGAACAACCAGGGAGTATGGCACTTAAGAGCCAAGGAAGAAAGTGTTTAGAAGAAGGGCTGGTCGAGTGCCAAACGCTATTGAGAAATGAGATTCAACTAGGATGGGGTGGTGAAACGCAGAGAAGTGGTCCGATTGTAGAGGACTTAAGCTAGAGCTGAGCACAGCGCCAGCCCAGCCTTCCCTAAGCATAAGCTGGGCATAATTACCTTTCACATGTGTCTCCTCCTCCTCCCACTAGTAACTGCCCTTAAGGTGGGTCTTGTTCACCCTGTTATGCCCAAAGCCTAGTGCAAGGCCTGGAACCTAGTAGATGCTTAACAAATTTTACTGATTAATGCGTGGACGGATGAGTGAATGAGTGATGGTGAAGGTTTGGAAGCAAAAGAGGAATCTCTGGCATGTGCCTGGGCTAGCTACTATCCTTCAGCTTTTTTTCCTTTATACTGCAATGGCCCGCAGACCCAGGGAACAGACGACACAGTCCCCATCGCCTCCCTCCCCTGAGCCCTTGGCCCCCCTTCCTCTCTCTGACGAAGAGTCTGGACCGAAGGCTCTGCTGACGTGGGAAGGGGAGGAGAGTCTGGAGGAAGGGGAGGGGAAAGCAACGCAGAGATCGCAGAGACCGAGGAGGCGCCCGCGGCTGCAGAGCTGCAGAGTGGGGTCTCTACGGGCTCTCCCGAGTCCGGTACCCAGCGCGCAAGTGGGCCTGAGAACTGCGCATCCTTTCGGCGCGGGCCGGCAGGGCCCCTGCGGTCGGCAAGCTGGCTCCCCGGGTGGCCACCGGGACCCCCGAGCCCAATGGCGGGGGCGGCAGCAAAATCGACAGCACTGTAGAGATCACCCCTAGCACCAACGGAGTAAGTGCCCGCGGCCCGGGGGGGCTACGCCATCCTGTCCGCGCACCCCCGCCCCGCCGAGCACCTGGCGAGTTCCTCCTGCGCATCCCGGCCCTTGACTGCCTTCCTAGCCCTCGCTCCCGCCCGCCCCCTCCCCTTGCCTCTGCGGTTTTCTGCGCTTCACCCTTCTCCTCCCCCCGCCACCCAGCAGGTTGGGACTCTCGGAGATGCGGTGCCCACAGAGCAGCTGCAGGGTGAGCGGGAGCGCGAGCGGGAGGGGGAGGGCGACGCGGGCGGCGACGGACTGGGCAGCAGCCTGTCGCTGGCCGTGCCCCCAGGCCCCCTCAGCTTTGAGGCGCTGCTCGCCCAGGTGGGGGCGCTGGGCGGCGGCCAGCAGCTGCAGCTGGGCCTCTGCTGCCTGCCCGTGCTCTTCGTGGCGCTGGGTTTGGCCTCCGACCCCATCTTCACGCTGGCGCCCCCACTGCATTGCCACTACGGGGGCTTCCCTCCCAATGCCACCGGCTGGGAGCAGCCCCCAAATGCCAGCGGCGTCAACGTCGCCAGCGCGGCCCTAGCAGCCAGCGCCGCCAGCCGCGTCGCCACCGCCACCAGTACGGACCCCTCGTGCAGTGGCTTTGCCCCACCGGACTTCAACCATTGCCTCAAGGACTGGGACTACAATGGCCTGCCCGTGCTCACCACCAACGCCATTGGCCAGGTGAGGCGACCAGGCGGGCCGTGGGTCTGGGGGAGGGCTGAGGGCGGCGAGGGTGGGGCCTCATGCCCGCTGCACCCTTCTCACATCCCCAGTGGGATCTGGTGTGTGACCTGGGCTGGCAGGTGATCCTGGAGCAGATCCTCTTCATCTTGGGCTTTGCCTCCGGCTACCTGTTCCTGGGTTACCCCGCAGACAGGTGAGGGCTGTTGTGGGGGCAGGGCTGGTAGAAAGGAGGGGGTGCTAGGGAAGCTAGACCAAGCAACTGGCATTTGCAAGAGGTCGAAGATGATTCGCTGGACTCTGCAGTCTTCTCTGGACTTCTTCC